CCCCAAAACCCCAAAACCCCAAAACCCCAAAACCCCTTTAGGAGTAGCTAAATTGAATTTTAGAAGAGTGGATTTTGAAGATACTCACAGATTTGTTCGGTCACTTCCTCAGTAGTGTACTCTTCAGTGTTAAACTTTAGAGCAAGATCTTGGTAATTCTCCTGAACTTTGATCTGGAATTGATTCCAGATGTTCCATCTCTTCTCTACCTTCTCTTTATCCATATCTGGGAAGAATGGCTTGATTCTCTCCTTGATGGAAGGATCAGTTGGAGGATTCTTCTCAATATTGTAGAAACATCCTGTGATTGGATCGAAGTATCTGTTAATTATTCTGTTTACACAGATTTCCTTCGCACATTCGAGGATGATTACTCTCGTTGGCTTAATTTTGACAGCTTTGAGCACAGTAATTTGCTGAATAGTTTTGGGGAATCCATCTAGAACCCAACCATTTTGGGCACAATCTGCCTGCTTAACTCTATTTTCTACAAGAGAGCAGATAATTTCATCAGGGACTAGTTTGTTGTTCGTAAATCAGTCGTTAATTCTCTTTCCTTTTTCAGTTCCAAGCCTGATCTCATTTTGTAATAAATTGTTGGTGCTGATGTGAACAAGTCTGTATTTTTCAGCTATTTTCTCTGCTTGGGTTGACCTGCCACTTCCAGGAGCTCCAACTACAATGACCCTGAGTTTTCTGTCAGGACTTGTCCTCTTCATGAGGATTAGTGAGGAAATTTGTTCTACAAAATTAGATGCCTTGTTTTGCTCATCAGAGTATCCTTCGACATAACCATGAGCATCGATAATGTGGATCACATTCTTGAAGAGATCTTGGACATCTTTGATGTTCAAATGGTATTCTTCAATAATTCTTTGAGTAATGCCTTCCATTTCTTCTTCAGTTATATTATCAGAGTGTTTTTGTTTGAGGCCATTCATAATATGTTCCCGAGCCACCTCATCAGAGTACTTTAGAAGGAAGATCTTATCAGGGATTATCTTATTTTTACCTAAAGCTAAAGCTTGGTTCTTAGTTTTAGGAAATCCTTCTAAAATCCAACTTTCATGAGTATATTCTTTTGCATTTTTAGTGAAGACTTTGATTGAATTCTCATCTGAGATGAACCCTTCATGAACTTTCTCATTGTTTCTTAGTATAATATCATCAAAGAGATGGTGGTTGTTGATATCCTCGTCTGAATCATCTTCTAATCTTTCCTTCTTATATCTCTGAAGATTTTCAAGGAGCTCTAAAATATGTGTTTTTGGTGGAGGTGGGGGAGCAGCTTCTTCCTAAATTTTTAAACTGTCACAATTACTTGTTCTGGCTCTTTATTTTTGTTAGCATCTTCTTTATCTTCTTCCTTATCTTCTCCTTCTTCCTTTTCTTTATCTCCTTCTTCATGTGTGCTTTTGGTATCACTTTTGTTTTCATTTTCCTTTTTATCTTCCTTCTGCTCATCTTTGTCTTTTTTGCTATCTTTTTCACTCTTTGTATCCTTCTCATCATCTTTCTTATCGTCCTTTTTGCCATCCGTAGTTTCTCCATTTTTGCCATCCTTCATTTCTTCCTTTTTACCATCCTTTGTTTCTTCCTTTTTCCCATCTTCTTTATCACCTTCCTTGATCTCTTTCTTGGTTTTTTCTTTAGTCTCTTCTTTAGGAAGCTCTTTCTTAGGAGTAGTTGGCTTCTTCTTTTCCTTCTTGACCTTTGGAGGTCTTGGCTTAGGGAGCTTATCAGCCTCAGATTTACGAATTTCCTCAACTTCTCTCTCAATCCAATCAGTCATATTTAGATATTTCCACCCGATCTTCCCTGCAATGAGCCTACCGAGGCCTAATTGGCTGAATCCAGGGGGACCAACGATTACACATCTCTTAGTCTCAGTCTTGCTGATCCTTTCTATAAGAAAATCGATAGGATTTTTGGGTTTCTGGGCGACTACTTCTTTCATAAGTTCATAGAAGTAATCATACACATTATATTCTTCAAGGTATTCTTCTATTCCTTCAGTGTACTCCTGTTTCTGAACCAAGTCCATTTTATTATAAAATTTTATTTTATACTATTTAAAATTTTAAAAGGGGTTTTGGGGTTTTGGGGTTTTGGGGTTTTGGGGTTTTGGGG